GTACCCCTCACTATGTTTTAATATAGTTTCAGCTGTTTATTAATTGCCTTTTTTGAGTTTCGTCCCTCATCTTTAATGAATATATAAGATAATATATAGGCTTGAGTTGAATCTTATTTTCTTACTATCTTTAACTTTAATAATTCTTTTTTATTTTCTAATTTTTAATACTAATTTACTAATTAATTATATTCTTATCAAAATTAAATTACATAAATAAGAATTTAAACTTAAATTTTACAGCAAATTATTTAAATAAGTTTAGAAAATTATACTATCTTACTTTAATAAATAATTGATTCAGTTTTAAATTGCTCAAGAAAAACAATTATTCTCAATAAATATTTTGATAACTTCTCTTTATTATATAAACTCTTAACAAATAAAGTAAAAATTAAAAAAGAAGATAACTTTATAAATAGATTCTGATTAAGTTTATATCATACATTATATAACTATAATAAGTTGCAATCAAAAAACTCTTTCAAATAAATATTTTAGACATTTATAATGTGATTCATTAATTTTCTTTATAAGTTTTAATAAAAAAAAAGGAAAATGTTATTTTTTCATAGTATCTATTTACTTATATTTTCAAATTCCAGATTATTAAAATAAAATTAAATTAGTTTCTTATTGTTATTGATCTCTAGCTTTACTTAATAATCTTGCATTTATGAAATTTGTTATTTATAATCAACCTTAGACTAGAATGTCTACTCTTTTTTTTACTCATATTAATTTTTCTTTATTTATTGAATCTTATATATTTAACTTTATATATAATACTTACTTTCATTTCATTTATAATTTATCTTATCTATTAATTTAAAATTTTATACTGACAGTTTAGTTAATTAGGTAAAACTTTTCTAAATAAGAATAAACCTTTGTCATCTCTTTCTAAGCTGAAAAAATTAAATACTATATCAACAAATTAAAAAAAAATTATTCTAAATTAACCACTATTTAAAAGCTTAAATTAATTAACTTAGATTTAGACTGTACTATTCACTCCTTTGGTTTTTTATGTTAAAATTTTCATAGCTTCTTTTTCTTTATCATCAGTAACTGAATTAATTATGATTCTCATAATAATTATAATTGTTCTAATTAATTACATCATTAAAATCTTTATTAATTCTTTCTCAATATCAATAATAAAGATGGTACAGCAATTGATTTCAAATTTACAAAATGTTGCAATATAAGCTAAAATTAGTTGCAACATATGTTGCAACATTATAAGTTGCAACATATATAGGTTAAAACTAATTGCAACGTAAGTTGCAACATTAAAAGTTGCAACATATTAATTACAGTTCCTATATTTAATCAATAATATCAATCACTATTATTTTACTCACCATCATAAAGACTTGTTTAAAAATCACAAATTTATATCTTTGACATTATTTATTAAATGCTATTAATTTATTTAGTTTTAATATTTCTTTAATTAAAATTAAAAATACATTCAGAAAATTTTCAATGAATAAGTAGATATCTTAGCTAAAAATTATTTGGATTCTTTAGCTCTCAAATCTTATATTAATTACTTTTTACAAATTTAGTTTATACTATAATAACTTATCAATTATTAATTATATTTCCTATCATATTCTTTATTAAAAATTTCATCATATTATAACTTTGATTTCTTAATATTAATTTTAAATACTAGACAATAAAGATTAACTAAAAAGCTATTGCTTATTACATTAGTAATAATAGCAAGCTATGTAATATCTTATGAAATATCAACTTTCAAAAAAAAAAATTTACTAGGATTTTAATATAATTTACCATTTTTATATTTTGATATAATTTTATCTTTTTCTGAATTTCACAGATTTTTTAATAAGATTTGAATATAATTTAGCCAAGTTTTACCTTTACTATTTAAATATCTGACTAAACTCTAGATTTCATCTAGTAATCTTAGTTATATATAATAAATTAACTAAATATATAAATCTTGATTATATTTTTTCTTCTAATACTATATTTGATTATTTGGTTTATTTTATAAATCTCATTAGATAAATATAAATTTTGTGAATTATTATTGATATTAATAATTGTTTTATTGATATTTTTATCAGTAATACATGTGTAAGATTCCCTTACTTTACAAGACATGATAGAATTTCTAGTTTAAAATGTATTCTATACTAAAGGTCATATAGGTATAAAATATTTATCAATAATAAAATTCTACAAGAAAAACCAATTACAATTTATATCAATTTTATTGCATACATGTATATGTATAATAATTAAGGTTGCTTGTCTAGACTCATTTTAGATTTAGCTAAACATTTAAACCTTTAGTTTCTCTAAATTTTTACTGTTTGATATAGTTTTGCCATTTTTATAAGCTTTGATATAGTTTTACCTTTTTCCAAATTTCGCAGATTTTTTAATAAGATTTTAACCAAGTTTTACCTTTACCATTTAGACGCCTGTCTAAACTCTTAATTTCATCCAGCAACCTTAATAATAATTGGATTTTTTCTAGCAGTAAAATAATCCAGTATTTCCATTTATTGAATAAAGATCATGAACAATTTACATCTTATTTAAAGGAAATCTTTTAGCATGGGATTTTGGACTTGATTATACTCTCTCATCATACAATTTAACTTTAACGTTAACCCTAAGGATATTTATAATATTTTCGATCAGCATCTATTGTTGCAATACAATAAATTTGCAACGTATATTCCACATCCTACATGATCTTTATTTCGTGATTTTGTTTTTTGATCCATAGTATGAATTCAATTATAGATATCCATAGATATTCAGTGTATAATAACTTTTTAAATAGTGATTGTCAAAAATATTGAATGTTATATTTTAATAAAAGTAATTGATTTAAAGCAGCATTACAGAATTTTGTTTAACCACACGCAGAATTTGGCCGCAGAAAATCGTCCTCATTTTTTTTTATACTATATTAATATTAAAAAGGAAATTATTTGTCACACAACAAATCAAAAACAAAGTATTCGGGAACATTCAAAGAAGATTACGTCAGAATATCAATGATTCAATCCATATTAAAAAAAGTATTTAATAAATGGCCCTTCGAGCAGCGAAACAGACAAAAACTTCTGGGGCGTACAAACCGTACGTTCAAAGCCTTTACAAGTGGGAAAAAGAAATAAAAGTACAAGAAAAGATTCTTTCTAGAGGCGAATCTTTAACAACTTCGGTGGGTTAAAAATATCTATAAACGTCTGATATTTAATGATAAAAGTTTTTGTTACACTTTATTTTTTTTTTATATTAAAAAAAAATTTCATTTTTCTTGGACGAATTTTATAGACTTATCCTCCAATTCGACCTATTGGTGAAATATTATTTGACGCAGTACAAAAACCTACACAGGATTCCGTGTCACCTGAAATTAAGGAAAGGGTTTCAAAGTCTGAAGCAAAGGACATCAATCAAAATAAACTTGAAAAAATAAGAGCCTTTGATTACCAGGCTTGGGATAAATTTGATGTGGTTAGTAAATATTACTATACATATCGATTTTGATGATTTTGATCGTTTGTTATTGTAAAAATTAACATTTAAAAAAAAAAGATCATATTTAACTAATTTACAATTTGAACAATAGGATAAAATTTTAAAGGAATCGGACGAAGAGATTAATTATAAAAAGACAAAAGAACATACCAAAACCGAGTTAGCGGCAGAATATAAACCTCAACAACAAACTAAACCCGCATCAATCCCATCTAATAACCCAACATCAATGTCGACACAACGTTCAGATCGTAAAGGAAAGAAGACTGCTAGATTGGAACAGGCTTTACAGGAGAAAGAGACGGTGGGAGGACCCACATTATCACTTTCATATTTAAAGTGCACAGTTTTGATAACACTTTAATTAGGACATTTTTGATTGGATATTAAGATCAAGATTATCTTCCGTTACGATTTTTTATTCATTGCGGGAATATATTTATGATTTTAGGGGAACGTATTCTTCAAAAAAGGAAACCATTCAAAAGCGATTGAACACTATGGAAAGGCTATGGAATTGGATCCTAAAGAGGCAGTTTATGTCATTAATCGGGCAATGGCTTATCTGAAGTTGCAGAAGTGGGTGTGAATTCATGTTTATTCTATCAATAATTTATTCATCACAGTAAAAGTAAATTTAGTTGCTATTCTTGGATTTAAATTTAGATGGGAAGATGCAGAATTGGATTGTACTATCGGACTAATGTTGCATCCGGATAATACCAAAGCTCTTTGGAGAAGAGGTATCGCAAGGAGAGAGCTTGGTAAATTAGAAGAAGCTAAAAAAGGTATATTTACATATAATCTTTATATCTCATATGTTCATTGATTTACTTGTTATCTTTATAATTGATTTTAGATCTTCAGGATGCATTACATTTAGAGCCTCATAATAAAGCTGTAAAAGAAGAACTAGATAAATTGTTAAGCGCTATCGAATCGGTAATAATTTATAATTTAAATGGAAATCTACCTTATTGTATTGTTGCATTCATTTCGTTTATTATATACTTTTAGGCCAATTCTAAAAAAACGGTTGTAGATCAGACAAATGATGTTCCCCGACGCCGATTAACTATTGAAGAAGTTGACTCCGATGAGGACGAATTTACTGAATCAAAGACAACTGATGCAATAAAAACTAGTGAGAAAGATATTAAGGTGCAAATTATGATAGTATGAAGAAAATATTATTAGATGATGTTCTACATGATTGATTTTTTTATATTCTTATTTGAAACCCAATGATAAAATTCGGTAATTTTTCCAAAGGCTTCTCCCAAAATATTTAAGCCACCACAATCTATGATTGAATTTGAATCTGATTGGGTGAGAATTCAACAAAATGATGAGGATCTATATAATTATATAAAGGTGAAGTATTAAAAAAAAAAAAATGTAAGAAATTAGAAATGTTTATTAACTCTAGATGAATATATATTTTTAGGTTATTCCGCCTTCTTTTTATCCAAGTCTTTTATCTAATTTTTTTGAAGCCGATTATCTATCTCGAATTTTAGTTATTTTGAAAGATTTCTATTTAGTGTATGTAAAAGTAATTATTTTGAACGATTTAATTCACATGTTATTATAAATTCAATGTAAATTCCTTTTTTAGGCATGATACGGTTAATGATATTTATGATATTTTATATAATTTAAGTCTTGTTGTGAGATTCGATGTGATCGTGTCGTTTCTTGAAATAGAGGATAAAAAGGGTAAGGAAGAAGAAGAGAATTTAATGTTAATTGCTTTCGATTTATTTGTTATTAACTAAAAACTTGTATTGTTTTAATAAATTTAAGTTCTGGTGGATTTGTTCAAAGCTTTATTTGAGTCATCAAAAGGCACACAAAACGGTGTCGAAAACGTACAAAATTTAATAAAAGCGACACAAGATGAAATCTTAGGATTGGCTAAAGTCTATCGTATTCAGGATTTAGATGGATAATTTGTTCACATGTACTTAATCGAAGTTAACAATAAAAAAATCGATATTTGACACCCTTTTTTATTAAGATAATATTTTGACGTTTTTGATTAATGACGGATATTATCTTATCGGCATTGTTTTTGACTTGAACCATTGAGATAAAAAGTATTTTATATATATAAAAAGCCAAATAACAATTTTTTTAGAAATAATATACATTAAAAGACTATATTTCTTATAAATTGAGTAAATAATAATGTTCACAAATTTTTATAAAATATTTATTAGAGGAAAAAAAATATATTATCTAATCTAATGAAAAGAATCTTTTGGTCCTTCTTCAAAGCCTGATAATCTAAACGAACATAATAGAGTAAAATGTAAATATCAACTTGCAAAACATCATTAAAAATATTGCCTTAGCTTTTCTATTACCACAATATCACCAACAATAGCAAAACTAATAAAACAACCAATATGAAAGTTAATTCAACTGATAACTTTACAATTAAAGCAACTTTTTTAGCCTAAACAAATAACAAATAAATTTATGCTTGCTTATTTAATTAATAATACCTTAAATGTAAAAGAAAAAATCATAACTAAAAAACAAATAACTATTAATTTCTTAATTATTTATTTTAATAATTATCAAAGTTTTATCTACATTTCTAAATTAAGAAAGTTTCTTATCTATTTTAACTCCTTTAAAAATCTTATACATGCTATTATAATATCTTTTTTATAGTAAAGCAGTGAAATAATAAAAGCTAAATATAGAAAAAGGCAGAATCATTAAAATATCTAATATTTCATTATACAGTCAAACCTTGATATAGCGAACCCTTGATACAGTGAATTTTTAAATCAAATATATTAAAATTACCTTACTATAGTGAACTAGCCAATTAAATTCTTTAAAAAATTCGTTATAAGCTTATAATGAAGTTGATATTCAGATCTTAGAATTCGTTATATCAAGAGTTTACTGTATATTAAATCAGATGTTATATAAAACTTTTTTGCTAAATTTGATAGAATTACTTATTTTTTTAATGATAACTTATTGCAGATTATATTTATTATTTATAAAGGTAATGATATATATCACTAAATCCTTTTACAATGTTTAGTTAGTCATTTTCTAGAATTTTCACTTAGAGTCAAATCTATTGATCTAGATCTTATTTAAATTTTATTAAGACAACAGTTTAAACTTAAACTTTTTGAATTATTCTTTAAAACAAATTAATAATAATTACTTAATTTTTTCATTTACATTAATGCTAAATTTTATTATCAAAAGAGATTAACAATATTGTCTTCATCTTTATATATTTATCAATTTCATTTTTATGGATGATCTAAATATTATAGCATTCTAATATCAAAAGTTTAAAGAAAATATCTTTTACTAAATGCTTTTGTCTTATAGATATTATCAGAAATGTAATTCTTTTAAATATAAATTCAAGGATTACTTTAACTAAATATTAACAAATTCCTATAAATCATTATCTAGGAGCTTTGCAGTAAAAAGGAAGGAAACTCTAAAAAATTTTTTTGAATTAATGTTAAATCTGAACTTATTTAACTAAAATAATCATAATTAGTTTAGAAAATAAAAATTTAACTTTTTTTTAGAATTTCTTCCCTTTCTATTACAAAGCTCCTATATAATCATTTTAACTTAAACAGTATTATTTATCATATAATTGATCATTTAATCTAAACAACTTTAATAATTCTTATGCTAATATTATAAAAACAAATTAATATTAAATGTTTAAAATCAAAATATTGAATCTTTTACTTAGGGTATAAAATCTATGTATACAATATATAAATATATATGGGATAAGTGCTGGGAAAAAGGACCAAACTGACAAAAAATTTTTTTTTTGAAATAACAAATGATTTGAATCAGATGACCAAATATATATCTATTTTACTTAGAAACTTTTTTTAAACAAAAAATCAATTTGATCTATTTTTCCAGCACTCATCCTATATATATTCATATATAAGAACCTTTACAATAGAAAGAAGGAAAACTGTTAGGAAAAATCAATTTTACTTTTATATATCAAATATAATTTGTAGGCTAAAATATATTCAAATTTAGCATTAATTCATTTTTTATTTTTCTAGCAGTTTTTCTTCTTTCTATTGCAAAGGCTAGAATTTCGCAATTCAATTTGATATTTGAATATTTGATTTAAAAATCAAATCAAATACAAATTCAAATTTATATTTATTTTGATTTGATCAAATTCAAATCAAAGAATGATTTATTTGATCAAATCCAAATTAATGTTTGATTCGATTCGATCAAATTCAAATCAAATATTAAAATATTAGATTTGATTCGAATTAATAATAAAGCTATCTCTAAAGTTTTAGGAGTGACTCTTACAAAGAAAATCATAGTAAAAAATGCCTCTGCAACTTCAAAAATGCTTTTTTTACTAAGAAAACTATAGCAAAAAGTGCCTTTGCAGCTTCAGAAATACCTTTTTTACTAAGAAAAACATAGTAAAAAGTATATCAGTGGTTTTGAAAATGCTTTTTTACTAAAAAAAACATAGTAAAAAATGCCTTTACAGCTTCAAAAACGTTATTTTAATAAGAAAATATAGTAAAAATGCTTCTGCAGCTTCAGAGATGCTATTTTATTAAAAAAAAAAAAATAGTAAAAAATGCCTTTGCAGCTTCAGAGACATTTTTTTACTAATAAAATTGTTACAAAACTGAGATGGCGGTTATTGCTAAGTTTTCTTAGCAAAACCGAAACTGCGATAGCAGTTATTACTAAATTTTCTTAGTAAACTGAAGCTGCAATAACGGTTATTACTAAGTTTTCTTAGTAAAACTGAAGTTGCGATAGCAATTATTACTAAGTTTTTTAAGTAAACTGAAGGCGCAATAGGTGTTATTACTAAGTTTCTTGGTAAACTGAAATTGCAATAGTTGTTATTACTAAGTTTTCTTAGTAAAACTGAAACTGCAGAATTATTTTACTAAGTTTAATAGTAAAAATTCACCTGTTA